CTGTGATGCAACAGCACTCTACCTAGGGCGATGGCTTGAGGCTCTGTTTCGAAAAAAAAAAAAAAAAGTGAAGATCATTAGGTGGTGCCTATGGCTCAGTGGGTAGGGCACTGGCCCCAAGTACCAAGAGTGGTGGGTTCAAACTGGGCCCCACCTAAACTGCAACAAAAAAATAGCTAGGCGTTGTGGCGGTGCCTATAGGCCCAGCTAGTCGGGAGGCTGAGGCGAGAGAATCGACTAAGCCCAGGAGTTGGAGGTTGCTGTGAGTTGTGATGCCAGAGTACTCTACTGAGGGTGATAAAATGAGACTCTGTCTCTAAAAAAAAGAAAGAAATGAATATCACCCAGTCTTTCAACCCTCCAACACCAAGAAAGTTAAAATCAGCTCAGCACCTGTGGCTCAAGTGGCTAAGGTACCAGCCATATACACCTGAGCTGGCAGGTTTGAATCCAGCCGGGGCCCGCCAAACAACAATGACGGCTGCAACCAAAAAACAGCCGGGCATTGGGGTGGGTGCTTGTGGTTCCAGCTACTTGGGAGGCAGAGTCAGGAGAATCGCTTGAGCCTACAAGTTGGAGGTTGCTGTGAGCCATGATGCCACGGCACTCTACCCAGGGTGATAGCTTGAGGCTCTGTCTCAAAACAAACAAACAAACAAAAAAGTTAAAATCTAGAACAAAAACAAGTTGAGAACTTTCAATTTAAAGTGTTGGCTTCCATAAACAAAATTTAGAAACAAATGTGACTAAGAAGGAATATTTGCAACCCAGTTAATAGGAAAATAGTTTACTAATACATAGAGATAGGGAAAAGACACCCTAATAGAAGAATGGACAAAGTACATGAATAGATATTTCCTCATAAAAAAACAAAAATAGTCAATAAACAATCGAAACAATATACAGTCTTATTACTTAGTAGATAAATACAAATTAAGTTATGTTACTGCTTGTTAGAATGACAAAATTTTTGAAAATCCATAGTCAGTATCATTTTCTTATATTATTAGTATAACTTCTTTAGAGTACGTGTGTAACATCTACTGAGATGAAAAATTGATGCAACAATTACATTTTCAGAAATTTGTCTTAAACAAGTATTCAATTATTCAAGGAAATATATTGTAGTATACTTTGTAATAGGTAAAAACTATAGACAATATAAATGCTATCCATAGGGGAATAAACAATTTAGACAACAGAATAACATCAAACCATTAAGAAGAAAGTAAATCTGTGTATTCTACAAGGAAGGCTGTCCACAACCTAAAAAGCAAAACAAAATAAAAAAAAAAAACGACATACAAAACACTATATATTGTGCAATAACTCAATTTTTGATTTTAAAAAGTAGACCTTTAAAAACTGAAAGGTTTTCCAAAATGACACTATATTATGGGAACAATGTGGGCATAACATGAATCTTACATTCTGATATGTGATTTTGTTTACCAGAAATAGTAGGTGAACTTAAAAATTGCACCCAACTAAAACAAGCTGGATAGGAATATACAACACACACACACCACACATCTCACAAAATCACTGACCCACAGTCAATGTGGCTTGATGCTACATCTGGTGTTTCAGTTTTCTGACTAGACAAACCCCCTTTCACCATCTCAAGATAACACAAGTTGCAACTTGGCTGAGCAGTCCTATATCATTCCCTTTGTATAATTTTTCCCCATTTCCCTTTCAGTTCTCTGCCATTTTTTCTCTTTATCTCTGTTATCTCACTCAGTTTCTCTCTCTTTCGTTTTTATCCTTGAGCAGAAAAGGTGGTAGGCATGGAAGGTAGATGGGGCTAGTAAGTGGAGAGTGGGGCCTGAAGGTCCACAAGCAATCTCCACGTCTTGTTCAAGGTAAAGAGCCATATGTACTGTAATATTTACACATTCTTTAACCACCTAACATGTCTAAAACTGTGCTATCATTTGTATTAGGTTTCTAGCCTCTTTATTTGCCACTGATAAATTTCTTTTTTTTTTTTTTTTTTTGA